CCCCACCATGAGCTTGCTGCCATGAGGATCCAGTCTTGTTCTTCAATGCTCCGCCTGCTGCAGGTTTGATCGGCCGACTCCAGTCAGCCCAAGTCTTTCCTCAAGGCACACAACCGCCGAATAGACATTGATCAGGGTTCGGCCTTATGTTAAATAAGCTTCTCTTCATCTACTCTTCTTTAGCTTGAGATCTTGATCTACAATCCTTTGCCCTGTGCCGTTCATGGCAGAATGTCCGCGGCAGGCTTTTCCGTCGCTGCAAATGCCTTTTCCGTGTGCGGACTCCTCGACATCACCATACGCGGCGTCATTGAAATCACAGTACTCTACGATCGCGTGCGGTCAGCATTCCAAGATGTTCAGAGTCTCCTAACGACCTTAGGGACGCTGACGCAGATCCTTTTCGAGACTCAAAGCTTTGTTACTGAACATGAGCGCTCTCTATTTGCGATAGAGGATAATCACACGCTTCCTCCAGCGCTTGATGATACGCTTCGCGACTGCCAGCGTACGCTTGCCGATCTGAGAATCCTTGCTGAGTCGTCGTCGAGGAAAGCAGACCAGGGATGGTGGGTGCAAAGCTTCAGGCAGACGCAGCGGGCGATGAGAAATAGGAAAGTCAGCGAGTACCGTGCGACTATTGAAACGCAGAAGGCAACGCTGATAGAGTGTTTGGCGAGAGTCGGAAGGTAAGGACATTGACGGCCGTAGCGCTATATGATCATGTGAGCATGTGAGCATGTGAGCTGATTAGGTCTCTCTAGGCTCAATGACATCCACAATCGCACACAACTCAAAGCCGTACGGACGGATCTCTCTCAAACAGCAGGAGAGACAGGAGCCGCTATAGCACGGGTTTCGGACGGTATCAAGGACACGAGGAAAGACCTTGAAAACAACACCATCAGCATCATCGAGAACATCACACAGACGGGCCTACAGATGACGGAAGAGCATACCAAGACAGGAAGATGGATCTCCCGAGCGAGGACGGATGTTCAGGTTGAGCTTGGAAAGACCTCGAAAGTGTTGCAGGGTTTCGATCAGACATTGCAGCAGAACACGGAGACGATTGGAAAGCACACGCAAACGATCGCAAAACTTGATACGGGGGCCGATGGCCTCATCCGCCTTTTCAGCTCGCTACCGAGTGAAGACAGTGGACCGTCCTTCGAGTTCATAGGGACAAGCATTGCGGATATGGCCGAGCCTTTGGCGCTGATGAAAACGGATGTCCTGGCAACAGTCAACCAGCAGAGCGTCCCAGCCGACGATGTGAGCTGGCTACAAGATGAAGTAAGAAGTCTTCTTGCTTACTCCTACGAGGCCGCCGCGGAGCAAGAAAGATGTGCCATGTCCAGAGAGTACAGAGCAACCGAAGGGAATGGGAGACCCCTGAAGCGACGAAGACTGAATGCGGAGAAAGAGAACCCACTCACATCGTGTCGAAACGGTCGAGCTACAACGCCGACAAAGCAACGTGAGAAGAAAACCTCCAAGTGCTGGGGGCAGGAGAGTCCGAAAGGAAGAGTATACCTCAAGTGTACTACTGTTACTGTACCTGATTCTTCCATGAAAGCTCTCCAAATCGGTCATCAAATCGAGCCAAGGAACGAACTCAGCAGCGTCTTCGTACATGCGCGAATCAGGAAAGAATGGCGACCGGAACCAGCTCCACCAAGGATTGAGAGACTAGTCCAGACTTGGAAGATTCGACATGAGGATGACGAGGTTTTCAGATGTGTTAGAATGGACGACCTTGATGGTTTTCGAAAGCTTCTTATAGATGGAGAAGCACCTTTGTATGATTGTGATCAAAATGGCTGGAATCCAGTCCGCGTAAGCATGAACCTTCCTATTTATACTATACTTTTCGCACATGGGATACTAACGTTAATGTATGTACGCAGATTTCAATGGCGAATTCCGGCTACAAAATTCTTGGATTCTTGTATACGTTGTACCTTTATATCTTCGAGGAGGATTTCGAGGAGTTTCTGTGAGTGGTGAAACAATAGTGAACTGAGTCTTAATACTGATATTAACGGAAATAGCGTCAATCAACTCGTCGCTGCAGCTGTAGGAAACATGTGGCAGCATTTTGATGAAGAGAAGTGAGTGGTAGTAAATTAAGACCTGATACTGGTATTAACGGAAATAGCGACAGCTCACTCACCACTACTGCTGTGCCGAAATTATCGGAGTCTTCCTGCCACTTGGACGGATTCTACGATTGCTACAGGCTTTCTTCAAAACGTGGGATATTGTTTACAGCAGAAGCCCAGACGAACGGAGAGAGTTTCTCAAAGCGCAGAGCATGATCATGATGTACAACAATGTAGAATCCTACTCCAACGTGCGGCATCTGGGGTCCAATCCACAAAGCGCTGCTACGTGGAAAAGAGCAATGCACGCATTTTTGGCCCGAGGATGTGACCCAAACGCACCAGGTTGGCAAGGAACAACTGCGGTAATGCGAACAGCATTCGAGAAGCCCGAGACTCTACTCAATCAAGCAGCTAGAGATGCCCTCCTTGAACGCGGTTACAAGTTGTGTAGGCTGGACTACAACAACGCTAGCCTTTGGCTGGCAATGAAGCCGGAACCATCAGATCCGTTGTGCTCTGATCAATCCGTAACGATCGATGTCTCTATCGATAGTTGGATATTAGACAGGAAACTCCCGATTTCAAACCGTACAGTTCGCAGTTGGCTTGAGGATCTTTACCCCAAAAGATTATGGGTTGAAACCAGGACTTTCCTCTCAATGAGCACGGTGGAGGAGGAGGAAGCTGTCCAAACACTAGATCTGGAAGTTCTACTGAAAGGAGTGTTTTTGCGAGACTTTTCGCATTGGGATGAGATCACGTAGGCAGCTCGGCAGCCGTGTATTTAGCCCTTCCCCCCTAGAAAGATCAATCCACCCGTCGACCACGACAAACCATGAACCCTTGGCAGCAACACGCTCTGTGCGACTTCGAGCGACGACTTCGAGCGACGACTTCGAGGAGACTGTCAAGCGTCAGGGTGCTCGTCGAGGCGGACGCCGACGTCAACGCGCAAAGTGGACATTTCTACGACAGCCCGAACTTCCGTACCATCGATATACCTCAACTCGGAGTCCACATTGTCCAAATCCTCTGAGATTCCATGGCCCTCGCAGCCGTCCGTGAAAATAGCCTGAAAGCTCCCACCGACCAGAGGCGGCGCCTCCAAGCGAGCGAGTCAGGAGGCATCACATCGCAAGCAAAGTCGACAGGGAGAAGCAGACTATCGTCGGATGAGAAAGTCGTTGGTACTAGGCCGACATTCAGGAAAGGGTTTTTTATTCATCTCTGAGGGATTGGAGGAGCTGGAGGGATTGTTTTGAGGCTTCGGCTACTGTATTTATTACTTGTTTCGTCGACTTGAAGAGGGGAGCGGGAAGAATGGAGCAAGATTGTTGGTTTGGAGAAAGTTTTCGATACTTCATAGAGTTGGTTTGTATACTTCAGGGCGCCTTTTCGTCTGCTATCTTGTTGAAGTAGTCTCTGAATTCATCATGGACCGCGCCGTCCACAAGGTTTCCAAATGCAAGCGGTATACAGCTAGATTCGGAGGCCACTTTGCACAGTGACTCCGTGACATTCGTGGTGAGATGCGACATGACGAATCGCAAATGTTATCTGCTCGACATCCAAGGGTTTCCCCGAATTGATCGCATGAGACCTTCTATGAGCGGCTCGTCCAGAGTGAACGAGCCATAAAGCTCGCGAAAGCGCCACGATTGTTTCTTCTACCTGTCTTGGGTGATCTGAGAGGATTCGAGGGGCATATAGCCGGACAAGAAATTGGCAGCTCCGTCGAACTCCGCTACTTGTGCGGTGTTGCAGATTTCCGCAGTTGAGAGCTGCGGGAAGGGAAGAAGAATTCGGTACGCTATGTCGTGGCAAGCTTTAGAGGAGAAGAGACCGCGACGAATGCGTGAGGGTATGCGGAGGGTGAAGGTGTCAACAGAAAGGATGAAAGTAGCTCTGATCACCGTGTCATCGAATCTTCGACCGTAGGAAGACTTCTAGACGCAGCGTAGGCCATACATTGAAGGCGGATGGATTGTGCACGTTTGGCGCAACGGTTGCAAGCTTGGACTTGAGAATATCTATTCTTGTTCAGGGGTCGCTGTTGAAAGAATGGGCCTGCGAGCCGGCCGACGAATGAATAGTGTTTGGGATCCAGCACTTTCAGTCATACATGAGAGATGTCCATGAAGTTAGCCTGGAGATGCGAATAACGATAAAATCTAGTACAGCGACGATGGATGGAGCGGAAAATGAGAAGAAGAGTTTCCAGTAACAAGTGGAACTCGGGAAGTCGTCTTGTGGTGGGGGCAGTTTTCAGTTTTACCGCAGCGGTAGTACCCGCCTCCAACCGATCTCGTCACACAGGAAGAATTCATAGTAGTGGTATCGTACGCAAAACTAAAAGCCAAGAAAAGAATTCTGCGTGGGCAGCTTGAACGGTGGGAAATTGATGGGATACGGGTATGTGGTTGGAATACTTAAACAGTAATCGGTGGCATCCGGAGGGGCCCAAAACAGCGGATGAAATAGACCTTTGAGTCCGGTAACCTTTACGGAGTACCGCAGGATGAGAAGACGCAGAGTATGGAAACTTGCGAACATTTCATGGAAGTAAGCTGTACGGCTCTAGCTGGATGGCCAGCAATTCTTCCGGACGACAGGCTTGAAATTGGAAGACTGGTAGATTGGTTTCGAGCAGGATGCAGGACTGGATCAAGGAACAATAATATGTAACGTTGAGATGAAGCGGGAAACTGTTCGAGTCGTCCCGTGCCCCGCATTGAAGTGAAAATTCGCAAGTCATCAGAAATACTCCGCTGGTTTTTCAACGGCCAGGATGAGTCTTCAACGTGTGGAACCAACCCGGTTGCCTGACATTGGACCTTGTTGCATGTTAATATAAAGCAAATAAAGCTGCGGTTATTCCACAATCACATATCTGGCCAATTGGCCCAATGGGTACGAAAATCAATTCCCTCGCTTATTCGATCAAAACTAACCGACAACTACAGCAAGGCGCTTGACTACGAATCAAGAGATTGCAGGTTCGATCCCTGCATTGGTCATAATCTTTTTTGCACCTTTGGGATCATTTTCTGAGGCCTGGGGACGTTAGGGGAGGTCCAGGAGAGCCGTGGTGAGGTATTGGGAAATTTTTGTTTTTGCAGCGGAAGCATTGCGATTCTCGAGGTTGCAACACATGAACCTTGCAAAGAAACGCCGCCTAATTCATATGGAACCATCGCAGTAAGTGTCAGAGGTCGTTGTGTGCGATGGTGGAAGATTTGGTGGATCTTAGGGGGTGAAAAGGGGCTTCAAATTTTTTTATGTCTGGAGAAGGCAGGAGCAGTTTCCCCGGGCTCAGCGGAGTATGGAAGAGCGTGCGGATGCTCTCATTTGCCTTGAAAAGCTTTTGTTAGACGTAAAAAGAAGTTGTGTTGCTGTCGAGGGTTTTCCTCCGACCGACCTCCAACTTTGGCAAATCGCAGAAATGTAAACACATGCGCCAGCAAGATCAACAATTCCCGGCCTTCATAGTACACATAAGGAAGCACTGGAAAAGCTCCAGAGTATAGAGAAATTAAAAAAATCGCAAGAAACCATTTGTTGGTAGGATGGTGGTGGAGGAATCGAGAAAGTCCTACGTCTCCCCTAGACCTCCCAGAACGTTCCCAAGCCTCAGAAAATGATCCTAAAGGTACGAAAAAGATGATGACTAAATAGGGGAACGATGTTTTTACGGTGGAACTTGAGTCTTCATCAGAGTGAAACTCCCAAGTACGACTGGAAAGCGGTACTAAGAGATAGCTTCCAGGAATTAGAAAAAACCCTCTAGGAGACACATGGCACCTTTGAGTACTATTTATTCTCAAAATCACTACACACGCAATTCCAGCTGCACATTCCACCACAGGTACCAGATTGGGAAGAGACAGTACTTCGATCGTTCTATTTTCATGAAAGTAGTGACCACTGCGAGAAAACGCAATTGCACGACCAAAACAAGGCAGAAAAGGAGCGCAACAGAACCACAGAAGACGCAACGAAACGAGCGTACTTCTCCAAATTCCGACTCGAACCCTTTGAACTGCACTCACCTATATTCTCGCGCCGTTCACTTCGACTCGCAAAGCGCAAGTCGCTTTCGTGTGGTAGGGTCGCTCAATGGGAGCACGCGTGAACGCGATCCGTTAACAAATACCAGTCACGCGACAACCTCATACAGTTCAAAGACGCATAAAATTGCGCACCAAGTCTCCTAGCAGCAGTTCCGCAGCTTAACCACGACGTGAAAATAAGCTTATCTGACCTCCACCGCGGCGGGTGCCTCAGATCTGGAAGTCTCGAAGAGGAAAGAGCCAGCATCGACCCACCACTTCACTTTGAAACGAAGGCATGACAGCACTTGATCAATCTGCTGGAGAAGACGTCAATGCGGTAGTAGAGGTAGGGTAAGTTGGGTTCGATAAGGTAGGATGGTGTATACAGAACTGGCCTATTCACATATACTCCCGCTATATGACCCCATCGCCCATGCAGACAGACCGACAGACAGACAGACAGACCTACGCATCCGAAGCAAGCGCCCCTGATACGGAGACCTCGACAAGCAGACAACGAAAACACATACTCAAAAGGGAAGAGAAGAAGAATTAGGTTTGCGAAAAAAGTCAGCCAGCCAGCAAATATCTGTCTCACCAGCCAGCGCTGCCGCAACGAATATCGTAGAAATACAAACCCGCTGAAAGATCCCCTATTCTATAGAACTTTTCCCCTTCGCTCCTCCTATCCTCTTATCCTCACCCATCACCCTCGCAGTATTACACCCTCAGCAACTTGGCCGCATACTCCGCGATAAGGTCCTCCGACGGGAACGCCATCTCCTCCAGCTTCTGCGCGTACGGCGTGGGCACCTCGGCGCCAGTGACACGGACCGGCGGCGCCTCCAGATAGTCAAACGCGTATTCGGCGGTCAGGGCGATGAGCTCGGCGCCGACGCCAAAGGACGGAAAGCCAGACTCGACGGCCATCATGTGGCCAGTCTTCTTCACAGAGTTGATGATGGCTTCGACGTCGAGGGGCTTGACGGAGCGGAGATTGATGACTTCGGCTTCGACGCCGTATTTCTTCTTGAGGATGTCGGCGGCGACGAGACATTGGCCGACGCAGCGGGAGAGGGTTACCATGGTGAGGTCTTTGCCGGGGCGCTCGATCTTGGCTTTGCCGAACTGTGGGAGTCAGATGGTGTACTAGCAAGATCAGATTCAACCTACGGGAATGACAAAGTCGTCCTTCTGCGCCGCTTCGCTCATCGGGAAAGGAAGACCGTAGAGAAGCCTGCGAGTTTTAGCAATTGTCCAGCATGCCATCAGTATGACCTACTCATTTTCCAACACAACAACCGGGTTGGGATCACGGATAGCCGCCTTCAACAGACCCTTCGCGTCCTCCGAGCTGTATGGCGCGACAACCTTCAATCCGGGTATGCTACCGTACCACGCCGAGTAATCTTGCGAATGCTGCGCAGCGACACCGGAAGCAAAGCCATTGGGACCACGGAAAGTAACATTGCAGGGCTGGATACCACCGGACATGTAGTGCGTCTTTGCGGCGGAGTTGATGATCTGATCGATGGCTTGCATGGCGAAGTTGAAGGTCATGAACTCGCACTGTTCTTGTTAGAAGCATCGGAAAATGTAGAGCAAGACCTGACATACAACTGGATGTAATCCTGCGAGAGCGGCGCCGACTGTGAGACCGCAGAAACCAGACTCCGTGATGGGACTGTCGATGACCCTCTTCTCGCCGAAGCGGTCAAGGAGACCTTTCGTGACCTTGTACCTATACAGACACGCATCAGCAGGCTGTTCTCAACTATCTGCGACCTTCAATCCCGAGTTCCACTCAATTGGAGAAGACCGCAATCGTCAGCAAGACTTACGCTCCGTTGTACTGCGCAACCTCCTCGCCAATCACAAACACCTTGTCATTACCCTCCATCTCCTCGACCATAGCCTCGAGCAGTGCCTCCCTCACGGTGACCTCTTTCGTCCCACTCGGCGTGGCATAACTCCTCCTCGCGGTCGCGGGAACAGCTGTGGCAGCTCGGAAAGAAGACCTGACAATCGGGGATGGTCGCGCAGACGCGGAGAGGAGGCGCGACGCCGGCCGCAGCATTCTCAAGCCGGACATGTTTGTGAAAGATGGGAATTGGGAGGAGAGAGGAGAGGAGCGAATTAAGGATCGGAGGTGATGATGAGGAGAGGTAGGGATTGAGAAAGGTTGAGGTAAATTTGGGAGAGCTTCGAACTGCTTCCCGTTGTCAGATGGCCCAAGCGCTGTACGGAGTCCGCAATGTTCGCCGCTAGTGGGGCCGGATATCAGCGAGCTTAAATCCCAACCACGGAGTCGAATAAAGATTCCGCGAGGACTCTCTCATTCATATTATGATTATTGCTTATCTCACCCCATACCATTGCAAGCCATCCACAGACTACATGCTGAAATCGCTCCAAGACTGCCAAATTTTGGAACCATGCGGATGAGCTGATCCACAGCTGAACCAGAAAACTCCACCCCTTATAGCGAAATACACAAACCCCAAGCCATGCGCAGCTAAAGAAACGCTCAAGCCATGGGCTTTCTCCCGACCATCAAATACATGGGTGTGAACAGCTTCTCCCTTCCGCCAGCCACGAGACAATCCGCAGCGACAGCCAGACTGTCCGCAGTCTTCTGAGTCCCCTTCGGCGCGAGGTTGAACTTCTCCAAAATGCCAACAAACCTATGGACGGTTCCGCGGCCAATCTTCGTAAGACGGAGAATCGTGGGAATGTCCCAGATGGTCTGCAGGTACCTGAAATCGCCAGAGAGCGGCCAGTACCAGGGCAGAGCATCCGGACGATCCGCAAGATCCTCGTACATCTCCAGCTCAAACCCGGCAGCCCTCATCGCCTGAAGCGCCACCTCAATCTTCTCCATGTTTGCAATCCCATCACCCTGCTCGATACCCAGACGGATCTCCCTGTGGTGAGGGTTGTCGTTGTCGTAGGCATCGGTCATGAGCCACTCGTAGACACCGAATACACCACCAGGCTTGAGAACGCGGAAGATCTGCGAGTAGATGCCTTCAAGCGAGGGGGCATGGACAGTCGCTTCAATGGCGTAGACAGCGTCGAACGAGTTCTCGGGGAACGACATTTGCTGAAGATATGTCAGTACGCAGTCTGTTGCTTGAAATGGCAACACGCACCATGAAATCACCCTTCGTAAAGCTCAGCTTGTCCGCAAGTCCCTCCTTTTTCGCGTAATGGGTTGCGCGCTCAATCTGGTAGTCGTTGTTGTTCAGACCGACAATATTTGCGCCAGTGAATTTGACAATCTCGCGGGCCGGTCCACCAACACCGCAGCCGACGTCAAGAACCCTCATGTCCTCCTTGATACCCATGACATGGGCGAGGTAGTGCTCATGGCGGGCAATGGCCTGGCGGAAGGGCTCTCCATAGGCGAAGCGGCAGAAATGGAAGCTGGAACCCCAACCATACTCGTAAAGGTCGGTGGCGAGATTGTAGTAGCTGGTTCATGGGTTAGCCGTGTACAAGCTTATGCCAATCCGAGAAACTTACTGCCTGGTGAGGGAGGCATACTCTTGTCGCCTTGCCTGAAGTCAAATTAGCCAATGCTGAAACCAGTCTGGGAATGCGCCCAGCAACCCACCTCCCGAGTCTCCTCAGTCTCTTCTTTCGCAGCCTTGTTATCCCAGTGCTTGAAGTACTCATCGACTGCAGCCTGGTGTGCCTCCTTGTCTTTACTGAACATGGACATGAAGCCTCCACGCGCCTCGGCGGATTTCCCATGCATGGCCTTGTTGAAGGCGGCATCGCGAGCGTGGTCCTCGGTCTCGAGGGCGACGGGAGACATTTTGGACGACTTGGAGGTTCTTTGGGTAACGAGAAGGTCGGTGGCCATTATGAGGAAGGGATTGTGCGATGTAGTAGGTATGGGGAATCTAGAAACACGCTTCTTGCTGGTGGAAAGGAGACTCTCGGACGGGCCCTCTCCGGTG